AACTTCTTCATCTTCCATGCATACAAATGGTTCTGCTAAATGCTCAACTGGAATTAACCTATCCAAATTCTCCTGCGAAGCTGTTGCCAACCTTGCCAAGGCGTCTGTTTTTGAATTTTTGGCTCTAGGAATGTGCTTGAATTTAACTTGCACAAACTTCTTGATCAATTCCTGTACCTTCGTAAGATAGAGAACCATTTTCTCACCCTTAGCCTGGTATGACTCCTCTATTTGTTTCACGACAAGTTGGGAATCGCTGCTGATCTCCAGCTTCTCTGTCTCCATTGAGTGAGCAAGGTTGAGCCCAGCAATGATAGCTTCATATTCTGCCTCGTTGTTTGAAGCCTTAAACCCAAACCTGAGGGCATATTCCACGTTTATTCCATCTGGAGAGGTCAAGATCAATCCTGCTCCGTTTCCTTGGGCGTTGGCAGCTCCGTCTAATGAAAGTTTCCATACGGAAAGGTCAGGTATTAGCATTGTGGCTTCTGTGGGTGTTACTGCAGTGAATTCTGCGATGAAATCTGTCAGAATTTGCCCTTTGATTGCAGTCCTTGGCTTATACCTAATATCAAATTTGCTGAGCTCTATTGCTCACTTAACTAGCTTTCCTGAAAACTCTAGTTTATGCAGCACTTACTTCATTGGCTGATCTATTGAAACCTTGATAGTATAAGCCTGGAAATATGGTCTAAGTCTCCTAGCCACAGTCACCAGGACCAAAACTAGCTTCTTCATCTTTGGATATCTCTCCTCTGCCCCCCTCAGAGCTCTGCTACAGTAGTACACTGGTTGCTGAACTCTGTATCACTCCCTAACTAGTGCTATGTTGGTTGAGAAATCTGAGATAACTAAATAAAGAGTAAGCACTTCCCCTTCTAAGGAGCTTATCAGGACAGGGGGAGAGCTTAGGTTCTCCTTCAGTGTGCTTTGAACGCTTCCTTACACCGGGTATCCCACTGAAAAACCTTCTTCAACACCTGAAAAGAAAGGTTGGCACTTGTCACTTGATTTGGATACAAAACGACTCAAGGTGGCTATCCTTCCTATCTGGCATTGGATTTCCTTGATGTTAGACGGTGGTCGCATATCCAAAATTGCCTTAACCTTTTATGGGTTAGCCTCGATTCCTCTGCCGTTGACTATGAATCCCAGAAACTTCCCTGCTAATACTCCAAAGGCGCACTTTGCAGGGTTGAGTCTCATCTTGTACTCCTTGAGGATTTGGAACGATTCTGCTAGGTGCTCGATGTGCAGCTCTGCCTTCAGTGATTTTACCAACATGTCGTCGATATAGACCTCAATGGATGTCCCAATTTACTTTTGGAACATTCTATTCATTAGGCTCTGATAGGTGGCTCCAGCATTCTTCAATCCAAAAGGCATGACCTGGTAGCAGTAAGTTCCCTGTTCAGTCACAAATGAAGTCTTCTCCTGGCCCGCTGGGTCCATCCTGATATGATTATAACCTGAGAAAGCATCTATGAAGTTGAGGAGCTCATGCCCAACAGTTTCATCCACGATCAAGTCGATTCGAGGTAAGGCAAAATTGTCCTTGGGGCATGCTCGATTTGAGATTAGTGAAATCAATGCAAAACAGCCATTTCCCATTGGTCTTATTGACCAACACCACATTCGCCAACCAGGTAGGGTAGTCCACCTCTCTGATGGCTTTGGCGTGGAGGAGTTTACTGACCTCCTCGTTAATTGCCTTCTGGTGTTCCGGAGCAAAATTTTTCCGCTTCTGTTTAACAGGTTTACAAATGGGATTCACGCTTAGCTTATGTGTGATGATTGAGGGGTCAATGCCTTTCATGTCCTTTTGCTTCCAAGCAAACACCCATGTTCTTCCTCAGGAACTAGGTGAGTAGGTCTTTCATTTCTCTACTCAACTTAGATCACACGTAAACAATATGTTCAGGCTCCTCATCAAGCTGGACTGGCTCTAGCTCTTCTGACGGTATGGGCCTGGTGTCTAGCTCGTCCCTCATGTCAAGCTCATCTAGCTGGATAGTTTCAACCTCTTTCTGCTTCACCGAGGCCATGTAGCACTCCTTGGCTATTCGCTGGTCTCCTCGGACCATTCCAACTCCATTTTTTGTAGGAAATTTTACGACCAGGTGATATGCTGAGGGGATAGCCTTTATTGCATTGAGGGATGGTCTCCCAAGTAGTATATTGTACGTAGAAGGGGCGTCAATTACCAGGAATTTCACAGTGGTGGTGGCTTGACAAGGAGGGTCCCCCATAGTGAGCACGAGTTGGATGGATCCCAGGGGTAGCACCATTTCCCCTAAGAACCCCATCAAGTGAGCATTCACTGACTCAAGCTTCTCCCTTCCTACGCCCATTTTTATCAAAGGCAGAGGCGAAAATGATGTCGACCGAGCTCTCATTGTCAATTAGAACTCGATGAACAGTTTGGTTTGCCACAATGGCCCTTACGACCAAAGGGTCATCATGGGGATACTGACAGCCTTTCAAGTCTGAATCCGAGAAAGTGATAGTTGTGCTCAGCCGAGGTATTTTGGACACGGTATGTACTTCCAGTGCTTCTCCAACTCTGATTCTGCAAAGGTGTGCTTTCCTGGCTGCACTGGATTCTCCACCGCCAACAAATCCTCCAGATATCACTCTAATCTCCCCTAAGGGTTGTTGGTGCTGCGCAGGGGCTTGTTGCTGGGGTGTCGGTGGTGGTGGAGCCCTGTTTCTGGTTGTCATGGGTGACAAATCGTCGTAACTGTCTCCTCTGGATCAAGAACTTGATCTCCTTCTTTAGTTGGATGCAATCGTCAGTATGATGGCCAAGATCCCTATGATACACGCAATATTTCGCAGGGTCTCTTTTAGACGGATCTGCCTTCATTCGTGGAGGCATTCTTAGGAATTTCTCATTCTGCACCTCGTATAGGATCTGGGACACTGTCGCAGTGAGAGAGGTATATTGTTAAGGTGCATACCTCGGCTGTAGTTTAGGCTACGAGGGGCCTATGCGATCCCTAACATTCCCCCCTCTTTTTTGGGGATCGCTCTTTGTCTCTTCTAGGAGATCTATCTCTTTTTGGAGATCTGTCTTTCCCTCTCTCTCTTGGGACTTCGGTTCCTCTTTTTCTCTTTCTTGCCCTTGTCTCTATGTGCGGAAGAGCTCCCTACCTTAGAAAGAAGAGCTTCTTCGCCGTTTATGTATTTCTCCGCTTTGGCAAGCACCTCAGCCATGCTTGCTTGGGGATTTTTTGATATGGAGAACATCAAATCTTTAGACTGCACCCCTAGACCAGCTATGAAGGCGATGATGACAAACTTTTCATCTGGGACACCCACCTTAATGACTCTGAATTAAATCTTTGGACATACGACATGAGGTTTTCTTGTGCGCCCTGTTTCACATTCAAAAGGTGATAGCTCAGCTTTCTATAGGTTCGAGCCCCTATAAAGTGGGATACGAAGGAAATGAAAAACTCTTTGAAGGAAGAAATTGAGGCCGGGGGGAGCCTGTTAAACCATGCCAAGGCTGAATCCTTCAAAGTGATGGCAAAGGCTTGATAGCGTACAGGGTCCTGATACCTGTGTAATTCCATCTGGTTCTTATAAGTATTGAGGTGGTCCATGGGGTCCCTGGTTCCATCAAAGGACTCTATCTGTGGCATCCTGAACTTTGGTGGGAGGGGAAAATGCAACATTCTAGACGTGAATGGAGATTCAGTATGCTACACCAAGGCGTCCATTGTAACTGGAGCTTTACTCCTGACCGCTTCCTTCATATGGCTGAGCTCCTGTTGGATGCCCTTGAAGCATTGCTCCCAATATTGCTCCCTTCTCTCCTGGTGAAAAGGGAAGACATCATTCTTTTCACTTTCATTGTTTTTACTTTGTACTTCCTTATTATGGCCGTTCCTAAGGGGTAGTTGGGGAACCTGTCCCAAGGTCTGTCTGTTCTCCCCTCTTCGTTGTCTTCTTTGAGTGGATCAAGGTATTGTTGATCCCTGTTGTGGGGACTATTTTGACCTTCTTGGGCCGGACGTGCCTCCTATGGGCTTCAAGAGCTTCTCGTTTTGCTTTATCAAGCATTGATTGACGAGGCGAAAGGCCTCCATCTGGTTATTTGTGGGGGGATTCCCCATGGGAGGATCAGTCTCTGGGACGTTCTCGGGCTATCTACCATTGGTGGCTCCCTGCTGGTCCTGCATCCGAGATGGGTTTGTTTGGCTTTTGCTCATGTTTCGTGTTGATACCATCATTCATTGAAAGACCAACTTATTTGTAACAAGAACAGTTGTTCCAACAAACGGCGCCAAACTAATGGTGTGAATCAACGTGGATGAACAAAAGGTGCAGGTGACGTGTGATGAGCGTGGATTAGAGCTACAAGGCTCGTGTGTGATGCTGTAGTGAAATACTAAGGGGATTAAAGGGGTGTACACAGTGAAAATATAGTGGTTCACCAACTCAGGAGCTCGACTAGTCCACTCTTCAATGGAGGCTCTTGCTCTTTTCTTCTCTATTGATTAGTTGAATGTAATACAAGACAGTGCACAATCCAATTAGGGTTTTTTCTTCTTTATCTCTATGGAGGCGTTACATAGTATTTATAAGGTTGCCCCCTATTCTGTGGGATTTCAACCGAGATCTTTGTCCATTATTCATGGGATCTTCCTTGATTTTGGGAGAGAATCTTGGTTAGTTGAGAGTTTCATGCATGAGGCCCAATTTTCGCAGTCATCCAGCTGTTTCCTGGTTGGTTTAGCTACGATCTCCCCAAGGGGAGCTCCACCCCTGGTTCTCTGAGCTCCTCGTGTCTTTCCTAACCTCCTGACCCGAGCTCATAGCTAGGGCTTGTTTGAGGTATCATCAATACCTAATCAGGGGAATGTATGTAACTTACCCTTCGATGCAATCTAATTACATATAAAAAAAATTGAAAAGAGAGAAAAAATGCATGCTTAGTACATGATAAATGAAAAAAAATAAATCCTAAACATGCAGCTCCTAAAAGAGCATAGTCAGCCAGAAAATGCAACTGAGGTGTAGGCAGCATTAAAAACCAGCTGCAAGAGAGTGTAATTGAGCTGATACTTGGAGTCGACAGAACCAATAGCCTGAGCTGAATGACTGAGCTGAGAAGAACCAACTGAGAGAAGGAAAGGACTGATAAGACTTGAGCTGTGAGCTGAAGTAAAATAAGCAATAAGCAAGCTAGCCATCGAGCTGAGAGGCCATTTCATAAGGGCAGATGGAAAGGCAGATTCGATAAGCAGAGTCAGATCCGATAAGTAGTTGAGGAGGCGTCTTGAAAATGCAAAAGCGGTAGGGGAAGAATCTGAACAGAGTCTTGTACCAAAGAACCAATCCTCTGAACAGACCTTTTCATTTTCAACAATAGAGTCTGACTGAGGGTCAGTAGAATTCCATCCGAGAAGAACCTGGCTTCTCCTTCCCGTGTAGAAAATGAGGAACCATCCTAAAGTCTTCATAACAGCAATGAAGCGAAAAAGAGTGCAGCAAGAGAAGGATGACTAGCGTAAGCCAAAAATCCCAAAGACTTGCATAGTAATCGTCCTATGAAATTATCTTTTGTAGCACAGAACAGCAGAAACCTCCTGTGGAATTCCAACAGACGAAGCAGAACAAGATCAGACCCCAAATGAAGACCCAAGAATACCAGAGGCTTAGAATTGATTCTGAGGAATAAGAGAAGATGCACATGTTGGTTTTTTTTTATGGAGTCTAGTTTGTATATGTGATCCGGATGATGACCCGACCCGAAATAATGTTGTGTGGTTTTTAATGGAAAATTTTCTGAGGCTTAGTCCATGGAGCGAAGGCGTTGCCCCCGAGGAAAATTTTTTTTGGGCCCGTTATACAACCCAGTGCGTAGGACATATAAACCCTGTTGTTTTGGTGATTAGGGTTAATCGTGGATTGCACAACCGCTCTCTGTATTCAACTCTCTCAATAGTGAAATCCCTGCAGCTTCGTGGACGTAGGCAAATTGCCGAACCACGTAAAATCTGTGTCTTGTTCTTTCTTGTTTCTTATTGCTTTATATTCTTGATTTGTTCTTCGATTGTGTGTGTTTGTTAGTGGATTTAAATCGTGTGAAATCCCAACAGCACAGGTGCCTACTGTACCCTCTTCTATCTTAGAGTCTTTGCTTTCAAAAATATTCCTCATTTTAAGGGATGAATATGTAAACGGATTGTATAAAAGGACTGTGTTCTTTGCTTGAATGGTGATCTGCACTTTATCCATGTATTCAAGACTTTCTGCTTGTACTTGATGAATGTTCCCATAAACTGTAAAGAACTTAGAATAAGAAGAGGCAGAAAATCTCTTACAAATGGCCTTTAACCTTTGAAGATTTGTCATGTCACTCCACCTACAAACTTGAAATCTGATCTGTCCTCTTGAGTCTAAGTCTTAAATTTCTGATTTGTCTTCTATCTTGCAACATCAGAAGTCTAGTGGCAGTGGGTAGACTGTCTGGAGACGAGTAGGTTGAAGAGACTTTAGTTAAAGCTCCCAGGTTTGCCAATGAGTCTGCCACAGTGTTACCCTCACGATAAGAATGCTGAATTTGATAGTCCAAACCATTAAGGATAGAACGAATTTGATAAAAGATATTCCTAAATTTCCAAAAAGCCTGATTGTTATTTTTGACCATATCCACCAGTAATTTAGAATCAAATTCAATGAGGAATGAATAATCCAACAATCCAAAATCTCTTATCAGTCGTAAACCATCCAATAAAGCCCTCATCTCTGCCTCCATATTAGAACAATGACCATAAAAATAAGACCCTGCCAAAACAAATTGCCCAGTAGAATTTCATAGGATGACCTCCTCCTGACATACCTGGGTTCCCTTTTGAAGCTCCATCTATATTCAGTTTCATCATTCCCTCATTTGGGAACCCCCAAGCTATCCATTTAACTTGATTAAGAATTGTATTGGACCTTCTCACATTAATGACATCTAATAAAACCAAGTCTTTCTCTGAATCCAACGCCTTAGGATTGATATTGTGTACCTGCAGTTTCCAGAAATGTATAATGTACTTTAGTAGAGAAGAAGAATGAGTATTCTAATTTTCAAAAAGCCTCCTACACCTTTCCCTCCATAGCTGCCAGTAGACCAGTAGAGATAAACCTCTCAACAAATAGTGCACCATAGAAGATTTCTTGTAAATTCTGATCATCATCCTCATAAACCTTGTAAGGGGCCCTTATTGAGAGATGAGCTAAATGCCCAAAAGCTCAGATAACCTCCCCCAAATCGAAGTTGCATCTTGACAATTAATGAAGATATGAGCATCCGATTCACAATCTTTCAAGCAAAAAACACATTTACTAGCCAAAGCAACTCCCATAGACTGAAATACGGAGTCCATAGGTAAAGCATTCTGCAATATTTTCCATCCAATAAGCTGTGCACTTGGAGGTGCCGCCTGTTTCCATATATTAGAAGCCTGAACATTTTGTTGACCTGCACTTCGTATTAGGTTCCATGCTGATTTAATGGTGAAATTCCCCCTTGTAGTATGCTGCCAAATAAGCTGATCCCCCCTCTCCGTCAATTCAATTTGCAAAGCAATCACATCCTGTATAAGCTGATCATCCATATGCTGTCTCACTCTATTAAAATCCCATCTGCCTTGAACAAGTACCTGTGATAGACAGGGAAAATTTAATGGAGCAGAAGAGGCTCTATGAATTAGTGGCCCCAATTGTGACCAGTTATCACACTAGAAATCTACTTCATCCCTTCTACCTACCAACTTCAGCAAATTATTAACAACCTCCTCAAACCATGGATATTGCATTCTATAAACTTTAGAATAACTATGTCTTGAACTCCTCAACAAATGGCCCTTATTACAATACTTATCCATAAAGAATTTAGCCCACAAAGACTTCCCATTAAGCAAACCCCATACCTGCTTCATTCTAAATGCCTTTTGAACCTCTTCAAACTTACAAAATCCCAAACCTCCTTCCTCCTTGGGCATGGTAATATCCTTCCATGAACACCAGTGCCTCTTCCTGGTATTTGCTCTTCCAGACCATAGGAAAGAGGCTATGATTGAATTCATTCTTGAGATAATTCCTTTGGGTAGACTTAACGAAGTTATCAAATGAATTGGCATTGAATTTAAAACTAACTGTATCAAAACTATCCTCCCCAGATTTGACAAGAGTTTAGTATACCAAACCTGTAGCCTTGCTTGAAACTTCTGGAGTAGTTCCTCAAAATAGATAAGTTTAGCTCTTCCTTTAATAATTGGACATCCTAAATAGGACAAAGGACACTTTTTAAGAGGAATGTTTGCCACCCGTGAAAGCATATTCTGTCGAACGTGTGGAATTTTATCTGAGCAATACAATGAACTCTTCCCTTTATTCACCTTCTGTCCAGACGCCTCTTCATACCTCCCAACAAACTTCAGCAAATTCATCATTGACTGTTTTTTCCCTTTTAAAAAGATAAGTGTGTCATCTGCAAAAAGAAAGTGACTGAGAAATCTTGTCCCTCTTCCTGTGTGAAAGTGATTAATAAGCCCTTTATGAAAGATCTCCACCATACCCCTGCTTAGAACCTCTTCTACCAGAATAAATAGAGGTTTTGTTTAACTCCTTAAAATATGGACTAGCAAAAACCCGGTGCCTCAGGACTTTATGTAATAAAAAAAATTAAACATTAATAGTACAACATTTATTTTTTAAATTGTAATATAATTTTTTAATTTAAAATTAAAGTGAACAAAGAGAAAATAAGAAAAAGATAAATAAGGGAGAAGTAGTTGTAGATTAGTGGAGTTGTCAGTCATTAAGAACTGTGTTGTTTGAATTGTTTGATATTGAGGGCCATATTAAAAAAATGATGTTTTTTAGTGAAGAGAAAAATTGTAAATTTTATACTATTAAGTTAAAGTAGATAAAAATTGAATTAATCTTTACTATTGTTGTTTTTTTATAAGTTGAGAATTCAATTTGATTTGAATTTAATTTAATTTAGCTTTAATTTTGTCATATCATACTTCATGGATGCAAGTTTTTATATTGAGAACAAATCTTATACCTGAACATATGATTAAGTGATCACTCGGTGGAAATTTTTTAGCTCCAATTCGGTTATTCTAATGGGAGCGACTTGGATTTTTTTAATTGATTTTCTATTTTTAACTGATTGGTATATACAATTTGATCGGATTTTTAGATTCGTAATTGGAAAAATTTGACCCGATTATTATTCATTTGTACGCTAAAAAATAACCCAATAAAATTAGTTTTAAATGAAAACTAGAAAAAATATGTGGATGGACCATGCAAGTGCAATGACAATTGTTAAGGCCGAACAATCTATATAATAAGACATGAGTGTGTTTGAATTTTATCTCAGTCATATTTTTCCCCTCAAAATTATCACCAATCACTTACTTCACCCATCATCCTTTTGTCACATTCAAACATCAAATCACATCACTCATTTCTATCACATATTTAATCATTTATATATTTCCTCTCTAAAAATATTATATTACTCATTTCTATCATATATTTAATCATTTAATATTTAATTAATTTATAGTTAATATAGTTTTAAAAAATTTAATATAGTGAGATCGATTTTTTAGACGCTTGAATTTTATATTTTATCGTGCCTTCAGGCACGGGTTATGACTAGTAAACTGATAAAATTCCTAGCATGACCTCAAGGATGACGTTTGATAAATTTTAATTTTTAGTAGATTCAAATGAAAATAAAGTTAGTTGGATACTGAATTGAAGTTCAGAGTAAGATTGATTGAAATTTGATTCATAGAAAGAACTATTAATAACCTGTCTTAAACTGGAATGCACATATTAGACATATTCTAAGTTATAGTTATTATGAACGGACTGTGCAAGTTCAAATGTATATGTCATCAAGTAGGCCATGTCAATAAGCTTATGTGGTGAAGGTCAAAATAAAGTTAAAAGAAATGAGAGATTCTATAACAAGATGAAGAATAAATCAATAAAAAAAAACCATTGTTATAATTTTTGAATAAGGTCAGAAGGGGTCTGGGTTTGTCCGACTTATCCCTTTTGATACATAAGTTAATAGGTGCTTAGAGGGAGGACAAGATGTCACATCCCAACCCAAAAAAGAGATAGGGTGTGGGTAACCTTAATCTATTAACTCTTTTGTCATCATTTAAATCATCATATTTACATTGCACAATGTTACAACATAATTAGGGGACCATACCCTTAAAGCATCTTAACAAACTATGTACAATTATGACACTTTGCATAATGTACAAATGGCATCAATCTCTCTATGCCAAGCTAGACTGTACAGTGGACAACCTCCTAATTCAACACATGAAAGTAAACATATGTTTGGGGGGGGGGGGTTGCTTAGTGAGTATATTCGAATCACATTGTTACCCATTTATGCACGGGAGTCTTGGCAACCAACAATATCAAAAAAGCGGATAATCACCCAATCCAAAGCTTGAACTAAACCAATCACAAATTCATAATCCACTGAATCACATTCCAG